GAGGCTGTAGCGGGGGAAAACCGTGTCTGCTGCTGCAGAACTCCCAAGACAGCCTGAGTCGGGGTCGCTGCAACATCTGTATCAGCAGCTGAATCAATCCCAGTTGATGGTGCATCAACTTGGGAGTCTGAATCACTTGCTGATGCAGACCGTGGATGTGTGAAGGCAGCCTTTCCCTTTCTGCCAGCACGAGGGAAGACTCTTTTTCTTCTGTCAGAAGAAGGGGCCTGAACATGAAGCTTTGCCTCCATGTCCATGGCTGCACGACCAAAGGATCTCCAATCCTTATGCCCAGCGCTATACAAGGCAACAACAAACTTCTCAGGCGCTGCCCTGCAAAAGTTGGTCAGCAGACCAACCCAGGGGTAGAGGTTAACTGCTCGACCTCTGCAAACAAGGACTGCAGTGATCCGCTGTAGTGCTGCTGTCCCAGGCGAGCAATCCTGTCAGCAGCTTTGCGGGCCCGCTCCTTGTCTGCAAAGCGGTCCTCTAAGGCCTGCAGAAGTTTGTCTACCCCCAGCCCAAAAGCCCAGTCCTCCATAGATTGCTTCTGACTGCTGGAAGTAGAAGTGACCCACTTCAGGGCAGGCCCCTCTAGCAGTCCCAGAATCGTTGCTACTTTGGTCTGTTCTGCACAAATAAAGCCCCTCAAGTAGGCTTTGGTCCCAGCATACAATCCCCCAACATCGGTCTTTGGATCATCCCCTCTGAACTTGTTGGGAGCTGGGATCTTGGATCCCCTTTGATCTCCTGCAGCGACAGACGCAAAAGATGGGTGGACTGCAACTTTTTGGGAGTGAGGTGGTGAAGGGGAAGAAGGGCGTGAACCAAAGAGAGATGGGGAAGGAGAAGGAGAAGGTTTCACTGAGAGTGCAGGAGACTGAGGAGCGATTAATTTGGCTGCTGTCAGCTGAGCAGTCAGATCCCGAATTGCATTCAGTATCTTTGACTGCTGAGCCGCCAGGTCATCCACTCTGCGCTCCAGACGGCCTATGTGGTCATCCCAGTTAGTGAAGTAAGAATTGGTGGCTTTGTGTTTCAGAATGGCCCACTCTGCCAAGTTCTTAGTCACATGGGCGCAGCGGTCATCTGACATAGCCTTGGCTAGCTGCTCCAACAGATACTCGCCACGTGACACATCTGTTGCAGCCTCTAGCTCGGCTGCCTCCTGTCTCTCCAATTCTGCAAACAGGGCTTGCTCCTGCTGCAGTTTTTCCTGTAACTCCTCCTTTCGCTGAGTAGCCTGAGTGGCGAATGAGTAGAAGGGTTAAGATAATCCTTGACTGGTGTGATGTCAAGGATGGTAGGGGAGAAGCCGATGTCGCCATGATATTAAAACTCATGTTTGCTTCTTCTTAAGGTTGTATCCATTTTGTGTTATTGTATCTAGTAGGGGTGGAGGCAGAAGGTTGTTGTTCTTCTACCTTCATCACTACTTCCACTTGTGGTTGCTGCTGAACCCCCTGATCCGCCATTTTCCTCTTTCAATTCATAATAAGTAGTAGACCAGCAGGGGAGTATGCAGCGATTTTCAATTTCCTTCAGACTCTCAGAAATCGTTGTTGTCTCATACGCAGAGGTAGGTGGGTGAATAGGCAACAAGCAATGTGGGTTAGAACGGTTTCTCTGGGGTCAGGAGTCGGACAAACAGCAGTCCAGTAAAATCAACCACACGATTTCCTTTTACTGACCCTGAACCTTTACTGAAGTTAGTATACACAACTCCAACAATTCTAGAGATACCCTAGATTTCCATAGCCCACTAGAAAGCAAGAGAAGTCAGTGAGAATGAAAAGACATGGCAAGACTAGACAACAATGACCAACCACACAGAGCGATTCAGTCAGAAAGCTTAGATCCTAGCTCTGACTCCAATTTCGACCCTGTTGACTTTGGCAGCCATACCCTTAGGTATGGCGAATTACAGTATTCACTGTATATAGTGAAATACTGCAAATCCAGACAAGCGCTTCTGCCCTATTAACAATTACTAAATTGCGATTTACTACAAACTGACAGAATTGAATTCTGACGGACAGAATTGGAGTTATGATTGACCCTAGTTAGCACAGGCTATAATTAGACTCAACACAAAACTACAATTCACAGTATCTCTACCATTCCAGTGCAGAATTCACAGTTTGAGCATGCAGGATTAAGCGCAATACAGTAATGCAGTCACATAACAACTTTGGATGGAAAAGAGTCAACGGAGGGTAAGAAATGACCAGAAGGAGGTAGGAGAGAGATGGTTATGGCTGTCATGCAGTCTGCGATTTTTCATTTCAGACACTAACAGACAGACAAACCATTAATACTAACTATTCTAACCCTATCTGAACCGCTATACAGAGATTTGCATGGAACGGACTCACTTTCAGAGTTTCTTGTAGAGCTTGATGAAGATTTGGCTAGACTGAAACCCTCATTTCGCCAATTTCTTCCATAAATTCCTCCTCTGTCCTCCACGCATCAAATCTCTCCAGACTTGTTGATCCTGTTCAGGACCCTGAGGCGCTTCAACCCCTCTAGTCAGACTCACTGAATCTGACCGTGTGGCGCTCAGAAAGCCAACAAACGATTATCTCTCCATAGTGCCTGATGCAAGGAAGATGAGCATTAGCGAACTTCAGAAATCATACAGCATCATACATATGAGTCCAGATAGCCTTGACCTCGAACCACAACAGAATTGCATCACGAGATACACCAAATAAGAAYACACCAAGAGTTCAAAATTGACAATGCTGAAGTAGTCCCATCATCATCAACGAAGAACCAGAGTTGATATCCTATTGGCGCTCGGCGCCCAGACTACATGTGGCAGATCCTATCTAGCCTATACTACGAAGCAGAATGATGACATCAACAGCGTTCCCGAAGTACGAGCATATGGYGACCAATGTCGCCCGCTTCAGCACCAGATATGTCTTGCGCTACACTCACAACCCCGATCCACACCGCACAGATGCCACTAGCACCCAAGGACCACCCTGCGCTTCACCCAGCATACAGCAGCGCAACTTGGCTATGGCTGCGTGCTCCCTCCCTACTCGCCCGTGAGAGCGTGAGTGCCAGCGAGCCAGCAAATAGCGCAGCTGCGCTTGCGCAGCATGCAGCCAGCACCCGAATGCCGAATGAGAGGCAGACCCTTCCCTATATCGAAGTGGCCTGCCTGCGTCCAGTCCAGGAAGCTTCCAGTAGGCCCCGGTAGCCTGAGGCCCAGTCACGAGGAAAGCAGGCCTTGGGCCTGAAGTGGTTGCATGCGCCCAACTGCTTTCGGCCTGTGTTCGGCCCGGTACCTGAATCCAGCCCAGGGCATGTTCTTCGTACATTCACACAGGCGGCCCAGGGCCTGCGTTCATTCAACCAACTGGCGCTGCGCAACTGCCTGAATTTTCCCCAATGCGGGGTACCCTGAAAAACGAGGCTTGAAGGGGTTTGTCGTGCCTGCCTTCACTTAGGGCGGCCAACCTTGCTGCAAATAGGGCCCCGTAGGGGCTAAGCGGGCGTAGCCTCGCATTCCCTCCTCCATATCTTCGTCAGTCTTCTGGGAAGATCAATCCGGAGCCATCTGGCGCTTTCCTTTCAATACATCCTTCTCATAGCGGGCAACGATTTGAGGAGCGGTCTGCATCAATTCCTCCCGAGTAAACCAGCGGTCCTCTTTCGGATCCGTGTGATGTCTGAAGTGGACACGAAACTGCAGTTTTGGCTTTGGAGGACGTCCCCTTCCTGGAGGCTTCTGAATGGGCATCTCCAATGTGGTCAACGATATCATCGATGTTGACTTCTCCGTCCATGGTTGGGGGCAGCATTGACCGACGGGAGGGAAACTGATCAGTTTCCTCGAACGCAGCGAGCTTAGAGGCGTGAAAGACAGGGTGAGTTCTGAGATGACCGGGGATACGGATGACATATGATGGACCATCAGGATCTGTCCCTACTACATCTAGAACTTCCCAAGGTCCAAAGTACTGAGGCATGAGTTTGCGGGATATCCCGAATTCCTGTCCCAGTTCTGAAGACTTAACCCAGACTCTGTCCCCAACCTGAAATGTAGAAGGGCGGCGGTGTCTATTCTCAGACTCTATCATTGCTGCCTGCGCCTTCTGCATGTTTTCTACACCCTCCTGCATCTTCTGTTCATATCTATAGGCAAACTCCAAAGTGCCCGGTGTAGCAGTTGGCTGGTTCTCGGGAAATAGGAAGTCTAAGGGCAGTCTAGGCTTGAACGTCAGTTGTAGACTGTTAGGACTCACCCCGGTAGCACTGTGTACAGCGTTGTTATATAGACTGGTGACTAGAGCAAGTTTTTCGTCCCAGTTTACCTGGTTGGGCTTGATGTAGTGCCTCAACAGGTGTTGCACAACGCGGTTCATTTGTTCAGCCTGGCCATTAGCTTCTGGATGATTTCCAGAGGTCATCTGCAGTTGAGTTCCTTGTTCAGCTGCAGCGGCCTTCCACAATTCACTCGTGAACCTGACATCCCTGTCACTGACTATAGACTGTGAGAGTCCAAAGTCTCTAACCCAGTTCTCTTTAAATAGCCTGATCACATACTCGGTCTTCGTTGTTTCTGGCATAGCTATTAATCTAGCAAACTTACTAAACCTATCCACGATGACAAAGATTTGTCTCATCCCACTCTTGCTGGTGACCAACGTATCCATGAAGTCCATGGACAAACTTTCACCCGGCCTTTCCAGAATCGGAAGGGGCTTGAGCAGCCCAAGAGGAGCCTGAGTACGGGGTTTGTCTCTTTGGCAAACTTGACAAATTTCCACGTACAGCAGTGCATCTTTCATCATCGTGGGCCACCAAAACCACTGCAGCAAGTTGGCTGCGGTCTTCTTATACCCAAAATGGCCGGTGGCATCATGACACTCGCCTAAAAACAAACTGCGCAAAGACTCGCTATTTGGAACACACAAGCGTTTATTCCCTGCCTTCTCGAGAAACAGTAATCCATTGACCAACTCAAACTCGGCGGAGGTTTTCTTATCCTTCGCCTCAAGTCTGCGTATAATCTTAGACATAAACTGGTCCTGACGCTAGGCTTCCACCAAAGACTGAGTCACATCGTCCGTCAAATCGAACTCAGTAATCAGCGCTCCTGAGAAGTCCGGTCTGTGTGACAAGGCATCAGCAACCTTGTTGTACTCCCCTTTAATATACTGAGGGTCAAAGTCATATTGCTCAATGACTTCGATCCAACGCTTGAGAGCGTCAGAGAGTACCGGTTGTGTTCTCATCCATCTCAGGGTCTGATGATCAGTCCGGAGGATGAAGAACCGCCCAAGGAGGTAGTGTCTCCAATGGGTGAGAGCCTTGTACACCGCATAGAGTGCCTTCTCATAACTGGACTTAGCCAACTTCTGAGACGACATTTTCTTGGACATGTACTCTACTGGCCTCAACTTTGGCCCATCCTGCTGCGCAAGCACGGCGCCAATGCCATATTGGCTGACATCCGTTGTGACTATAAACGGCTTGTCAGGATCAGGAAGTTTCAAGACTTCATTGTGCGTCAATGCATGCTTCAGATGTCTGAAAGCAGCCTCGCACTTATCTGTCCACTCCCAAGGGGTGTCAAGGCGGGTCAAATCGGTCAAAGGAGCGGCCACTATGCTGTAGTTCTTAACGAAAGTCCTATAGTAGCCTGTCATTCCTAAGAAAGATCTCATCTCAGTCACAGACTGAGGACGTGGCCAATCACGAATGCTAGCCACCTTCGCGTCATCGGGCTTCAACCCTTCCGCAGAGATCTCATGACCCAAGTACAAGACACGGGTGCGGCCAAACTCGCATTTCTCACAGTTGATCTTGAACTTGTGCTGTCACAGGAGACCGAGGACTTTGTCCAAGTGTGCAACATGTTCCTCGACAGTCTTACTAAAAATAAGTATGTCATCGAGGTACACGATGACAATGACCC